ATTAGAGAAAACCGATTTTAAAATTATATATTTACGAAATTTGTGATAACGAGGGCAAGGAAGGTGGCAATTTCGACTAGTGACTCCGAGCGGCAGAAACTCACGCTACGCTACTGAAATGACATTACAACAACGCAACATAGCTTTATCTTTCATTCATACAATAATTTAATACATTCTTTGAATGGGCAGTTTTTTTTTTTTTATAGAAGAGGGGGCAAACGAGCATGCAGCTCACCTGATGGTAAGTGACTACCGCCGCCCATGAACAACCGCAACACCAGGGGAATAGCAGATGCGTTGCCGGCCTTTTAGAAAGGTGTAAGCTCTTTTCTTGAAGGTTCCTGAGTCGTATCGGTCCGGAAAATTCGCTGGTGCTAATTGATTCCACAAGGAAGTTGTGCGAGGGAGAAAACTTCTTCTAAATCGCACAGTGGTGGACCGCCAATCATCCAGATGGTTTGGATGGTAACGCCAGTTTTGTCGCGATGTGCGATGGTGAAATTGAGCGGCTGGAATTAGTCCGAACAATTCCTCAGAGCACTCCCCGTGATAGATGCGATAAAATACGCAAAGAGATACAACATCTCTACGCAATGCCAGTGTATCGAGCCGATCAGAAAGAACTCGGTCGTCGACGATTCGAACCGCTCTGCGCTGGATGCGGTCAAGTGGAAGGAGCTGGCACTGGGGTGCCCCGGCCCAGAGATGAGAACAGTATTCCATGTGGGGCCGAATTTGCGCTTTGCAAAGTTGCAAGCGATGTGCCGGCATGAAATACTGTCTCGCTCTGCTGAGCACGCCAAGCTTTTTAGAGGCCAATTTGGCCTTCCCTTCCAAGTGACCACGAAACTGCACACTATTCGATATGTCGATGCCAAGGATTCCGATACTAGCTGAGGCAGCAAGGGGAGTGCCTTGAAACTAAGGAGATACGACAAAGGGGTTCTTTTTAGCGGTAAACGCGCAAACTTGTGTTTTCTGGGTATTGAACTGGACTAGATTTAGTCGCCCCCAATCCGAGACTTTGTTAAGCAAAGACTCGACTTCAGACACAAGTTTCTCCCAGTACTCGGCGACGTTTTCCCGAGAAATATTGGCACGGCCGGTATATAAGGCATCACCAGTGCTGTCGTCCGCATAGCAATGAATGCTACCAGTTTGCAACATATCATTGATATGCAGGAGAAACAGCGTTGGTGATAGCACGCAGCCTTGTGGAACACCAGCGTTGATGATAGGCTTGAAATCAGAGCATGCGCCGTATACTACGACCTTGATGCTCCGATCAGCAAGGAAACTGGTAATCCATTTGCACTATTTCTCGGGAAGCCCATAGAAAAGAATCTTCGAAAGAAGCGCTTTGTGCCAGACCCGATCGAAGGCCTTCGCTATGTCCAAACTAACGGCCAATGCCTCCCCCTTGGACTCAACTGCCTCCGCCCATCTATGAGTCAGATAGACTACAAGATCACCAGCTGATCGACCCCGACGAAAACCGTACTGGCAGTCACTAATCAGCTGGTGATCCTCAAGGTACCTCATGAACTGGCAGTTTATAATGGATTCCATTATTTTGGAGAACAAGGAGGTGATGGCGATAGGCCTGTAGTTGGACGGGTCTGAGCGGTCGCCTTTTTTAGGGATCGGGTGGACCAAAGCTGTCTTCCATGAATACGGGACTACGCCTTGAGAGTAGGAGTACCGGAAAAGACGCGTTAAAACCGGTGCCAACTCCGGGGCACACGTCTTCAGCACAATGGGAGGGCCTCCTTCGGGCCAACCCGACTTGCTGACGTCTAGGGAGAAGAGTGCTTTGCGAACCGAGCGCTGTGTAAACCGCACATCAGGCATGGAGCACTCACATCGCGGGATGGTCGGCGGTGTGTTCCCCCTGTCATCTAGAGTCGAGTTGGACGCAAAGAGAGAGCTCAACAGATCGGCTTTCTCCTTTGCGGCATGGGCCAGTGAGTCGTCCTCTCTGTGCAGAGATGGAAGAGATGGCTGACAGAAGTTCCCTTGGACAGCCTTGGCGAGAGACCAGAATGCACGGGTTCCCGAAGGAAGGCGAACTAGCTTCTCGCCAATTCTGCCGATGTGTTCAGACCTTGCCTTGGCAATGACGCTTTTGAAGGACCTGGAGGCGGAATTATACTTCTTTTTAAGTACGCTCGTGTTTACATCTCGAGACGTTGATGCGTCAGCCCAGGCCCGGTAGCACCCCTGCTTATAGCGTGATGCTATTTTACAGGAGCGACCAAACCATGGCTGGGATCTGCCTCCGATGGGCACCCCAGAGGATGGAATAAAAAGTGCCATACCCTCAAGTACCACATCAGCAACAGAATCGGCAACAACGCTGGGATCTTCCGGCGAGAAGCAAACCCGCCCCCAAGGGTAGGATGCAAAAAAAGACCGCATCCCGTCCCAATCAGTAGTATTAACATTGCACATCTATTACGATCGCACAAAGCCTAACAACCTCGTGTTTTATCCCATTAGAGTTCCTTCAAACAACAGAAACGTCGAAGAGTATCAAATAACGGACATATAGGCTAGGACCACGGACGAATGCGTAAACGTTTTACACGATATTGCCAGATCAAATCGATATTAAAGAAACGATTCGTTCCCTGCTTACGGTTACGTTACAGTTTATTACGGAGTGCGTATAAAAAAATAAACGTTTAATAACAAGCTATTCCGTCGGCAATTTCCGACGACTTGAAATAGCATTCCATGTTACTTGTTTGTACAACAAATCGGAAGACACAACAAAATGTTTTTAAACATAGCCTAGCTTTAAATGGATGGTTTTCATCGAATTTAAGTAGATAGGATGTATATGCTGCGACATTTAAGCATACACTTTCGGCGCAATACTGTGGCCTCCGCAATTGATATTGATGTTTATGTTTAGGTCTATTTATCGACCTAAATTCACATCTATTTATCGAATAGGTACGTCGATCAAGCTTCAACTTAGTTGTTAATTCTGTGTTTGTTGTTTTAAAGATGTTATCACCGATGTCTTTGTAATTTTATTAGAAAAAATGGTAAAGTGAGTTAATATGAAGTTGAAGGAAATAACCCTTTAGATATAGTAAGCCAAACTGAACGGAGTTTATATTACGATAACTCGTCGGTTTTGCTAAACCATTTTTACAGGGACCTTATTTCAAGCCTTTTTTCTTTATAGGATAGCGTAACAAACGAGCACACAGTCCACTTGATGGTAAGTGGTTGCCGTAACCCATAGACATCTACATCTATGCTCAATAAAGGATCAAAATGCAGATGTGTTGTCACCCGTGAGGACTAATATGGAATGCCTCTTTTCTAATAAAAAGGGTCTCCGGTTCTCTACACTCACCATACGAAACACAGCAGCATTAAGCTGCTATTTTACGCTGATATTCTGTGAGAGCGTGGTCCTTCCCCGGTCGAGCTGACCCAATCGTGCTACAATCGTACTACTAATATAGCTGGAGCATGGCTCTACCACAAATAAAAATTTCTAACGTTAATTCATAATTTAAACGGTATCATGTAGAACAGAATGAACATAAACATTCAAAAACAAACAGCTGCTTTAGACGCAGTCGTGACTTATCGGTATAGAAAAAAATACGGCCAAGTGCGAGTCGGAATGAAGGGTTCCATACCATCACACAAATTTCTAGGAGGGCAGCCTCCTTTAATTTTTACTTACTTACTTACTTACTTATCTTCACGCACAATCCCTGACGGGGTAGCCAGAGAGAACAGATCGCCAAGTGTCACGATCCTTACATATCTCTTTCGCTTCTTTCAGATTCCTTTAATTTTTAATTTATTTTTATTTTTATTATTTAGTTGTTATAGCAGCAACAGAAATACACATTCTGTGAAAATTTCAACTGTCTGCCTATTACGGATAATGAGATATAGCCCGCTGACAGACAGACAGACAGACAGACAGACGGACGGACGGACAGACGGACAGACAAAAAGCGGAGGGTTAGTAATAGGGTCCCGTTGGTTACCCTTTGGATACGAAAGTTAAAATATTGCGGTGAAATTACACTTCCCGGTTAGCACTTTTAATATAACTTATTTCAACATTTTGAAAGTTTTTCTACAATATTTCAGGGTAGTATTCGATTCAATAATAATTATTTGTATAATATAAAAATTTGCTTGAATTATATAAAGTTGACTAATGTTTTTAAAAAAAGTGACACGAGCTCACCGTCCACCAGATGGTGAACTTCATCTATTTTTAAGAATTAAAATGCAACGCTGAAGAGTGAGAGGGAATTTCTCGTAACCAGTAAACAAGGTCACTGGTTCTCATGCACCATACGAAATCATGACGCTTCTATTTTACGCTGTGATGCTGTGAGTCTTCGCTAGATACTATTGTGAATGGTGATTACACACCAATCCCCTGGATTTTTGCTTATACTTCTAGTACTATTATTTATTCTGTGCTTATACTGTTATTACTACTGTTTGTTAATAATGTACGATACGTAAATTAAAATGTTTGCTTATGTTTGTAATACGCTCGTATATGGACCACCGAGTCAGTAACCAGAGTGGTTTAATAATCAGTAACTGGCTGCTAGACGTAGTAAACATTTGTTTAAAAACTCAAATTCATGGTTTTCTGATTTAGTTTTGTTGTTATTTAACCGTTTAGTGGCGGTTTAAGAATATCCACTACCACATAATATAGTCCTGTGGGTGTCGTAAGAGGCAACAGAGAAATGAAACAGGAGATGGACAGCAGCATCTCTTTGATAACAACTCAAAATAATAAAAAACTGCGGCCGCCAACCGCTTGCCAAGCTTGGTAACTACGGCCATTATTCCCCCTTTTGAAGCAATTTATGAACGTTGTTCAGGCGTGAACTTTTGTTTCATATTATCGGCAATTGATAACTTCGAGTATGCGATAATATTCGCCGAGACCGAAAATCTACCAAAAATACATCATCAGTTTTAAAAATTCATACCTGTTGGCAAGTAATGAAGAGTGCAGTCCACACAAATATCCCAGTGATGACCTGTGCGGAGGTCGTCTGCAGAAACACCGGTTGTTGCAACGGCTTGAACATGTCATGGACGGTGTCGGAGATCGGCTGCGCCGTCACGTTGATCGTTTCCGTCGAACTCATGCTGTTTAACAAAGGAATGTATCAATATATGTCGAAGATAGAGGGTTGAAGAGAGAGAGAGAGAGAGAGAGAGAAATAGAAGTGAAGGTGGATCTTTAAACCCCCTCTCATTGTTGCTGTAGAAAGTTTAACATATAACAACACGTCTTATTTTGGTTTCGTGAAATTCATTCAATCGGTTATCTTGTCAGTGTCTTGATTCTGTCCATTGTGATTGCTTTTTTTATAAAATAGGGTGGCAAACGAGCACACAGTCCATCTGATGGTAGAATAATGTTGTGGCCCAGAAACGTTACACTTACATCTATCCGCGATTAAAATTCAAATAGAAAATGAATCAAACGCAATGCGTTGTCAACCCTGAAGACGAATTGCCTCGTTTCCATAAGAAAGGTCTCTAGTTCTTTACACTCACCATACCAAACTCAGCAGCATTAAATTGCTATTTTAAGCTGGTATTCAGTGAGAGCATGGTCCTTCCCCGGTCAATCCGACCCGACCACGAAGGTGCTACCCCGTGTTGCTGTTGGTTTGCATACTTAATGTGTTATGGTGTGATCGAGTAATTACGTCCATCTCGTTACACTACATTTGTAATCCTGACTGGCAGGTGTAAAGCTCAGTTCAGACTACGCTATAATATACAGAATAATACAAACTACTGATGATAATTCATTTGTATAGCGAGCTGAATGCAAGCTGCATTTTACTTTAAACTGCACACTAACACACTCTATGGTCACAATCTCTAATCTAGGCGACTAATATTATACAAAACAACTCAGCATTCATTTTATGGGCATGTTAACACTATGTTACACATAATATTAGATTGTTTGCTGATGAACCAGTGTGCTTTCTATATTTTATAGCAGATTAGTATAGCGTAGTCTGAACTGAGCTATACAGTATAGCCGAACTGTAAGGACGCTACACTAAATGTATAGTGCGGAACGCTGTTTTATTGCTGACTAGCGATCTGCCCCGGCTTCGCACGAGTGATTTCTGGATCTCGACAACAGCGCCACCTAAGGGGTCCAATTGTGAATCTAAAACATCCAGAGACCCACTCAAAGTCACACAAACAATTTCAACAAAAACGTTCGAGCCGTTTTCGAGTTTTAGCAAGAATAACATAACGGACAGCAATTGATTTTTATATACAGTGGACCCCCGGTAATCCGGCCCCTGTCTAATCCGGCACCCCCTGTAATCCGACATGGTCTATTATTTATTATTAGATATTTTTTTGACAATCTTCGCAAATGCATCATTGAACAAGTTAAAACTTGATTCTTAATTTTTGATTATTTTAGTATGTACATTTGTTTGTACACAATTATTTCCTAATGTAAAGTTATTGAATATTTTTTCTGAGGTCTATAGCATTAAGGACGCGTTTACAAAATTGATAGGTATAGAATCGAACTATTACATTGACACTGGTCACACACACAAGTGTACGCACGGTTAGCTACGGGAATCGCAATCAAGTATAAACATTTTGATAATTTGAAGGATTGTTTTTTTTTTCATATTTCTTATTACCTACAAAAATATACTTAGATACGAAATATAAATGGCTGCTCCAGAGACAGCTAGGTACTAGAAGCCATCTACAGGGAGTGAGATGTTGGCTGTGGACTTTGAGCTGGTTTTGTTAGTTATGATAACTTCAGCTCCGAACTTGGTGTAGTGACTTGAAGGTATACTTGGGTGACTGCTACTGGAAGTCCGGGACGAGTAGTACCATGTGTGCCAAGTTTGGGCTCATTATGTTAGTTATGATGAGACCTTACCTCCGGACTTGACAGAATGACCTGATGGTGTACGTTGGTGACTACTACTGCAACTCCTGGACGAGTAGAACTAGGTGTGCCGAGTTTGGGCTCGTTTTGTTAGTTATGACGAGATCTTATCTCCGGAATTGATGAGAGACCTGATGGTGTACTTCAGTGACTGCTACTGGAACTCCTGGACGAGTAGAACTAGGTGTGCGGTGTTTGGGCTCGTTTTGTTAGTTATAACGAGACCTTACCTCCGGACTTGATGGAGAGACCTGATGGTGTACTTCAGTGACTACTACTGGAACTCCTGGACGAGTAGAACTAGGTGTGCCGAGTTTGGGCTCTTTTTGTTAGTTATGAAGAAACCTTACCTCCGGAGTTGATGGAGAGACCTAATCGTGTAATTTAGTGACTACTACTGGAACTCCTGGACGAATAGAACTAGGTGTGCCGAGTTAGGGCTCATTATGTTAGTTATGACGAGACCTTACCTCCGGACTTGATGGAATGATTTGAAGGTGTACTTCGGTAACTGCTAGTGGAACTCCTGGACGAGTAGAACTAGGTATGCCAAGTTTGGGCTCGTTTTGTTAGTTACGATGAAACCTTACCTCCGGACTTGACAGAATGACCTGATGGTGTACGTTGGTGACTAGTACTGCAACTCCTGGACGAGTAGAACTAGGTATGCGTAGTTTGGGCTCGTTTTGTTAGTTACGATGAGACCTTACCTCCGGACTTGACAGAATGACCTGATGGTGTACGTTGGTGACTACTACTGCAACTCCTGGACGAGTAGAACTAGGTGTGGCGAGTTTGGGCTCGTTTTGTTAGTTATGACGAGATCTTACCTCCGGAATTGATGAGAGACCTGATGGTGTACTTCAGTGACTACTACTGGACCTCCTGGGCGAGTAGAACTAGGTGTGCCGAGTTAGGGCTCATTATGTTAGTTATGACGAGACCTTACCTCCGGACTTGATGGAATGACCTGAAGGTGTACTTCGGTAACTGCTATTGGAACTCCTGGACGAGTAGAACTAGGTATGCCAAGTTTGGGCTCGTTTTGTTAGTTACGATGAAACCTTACCTCCGGACTTGACAGAATGACCTGATGGTGTACGTTGGTGACTACTACTGCAACTCCTGGACGAGTAAAACTAGGTATGCGTAGTTTGGGCTCGTTTTGTTAGTTACGATGAGACCATACCCCCGGACTTGATGAGAGACATGATGGTGTACTTCAGTGACTACTACTGGAACTCCTGGGCGAGTAGAACTAGGTGTGCAGAGTTAGGGCTCATTATGTTAGTTATGACGAAACCTTACCTCCGGACTTGATGGAGAGACTTGATGGTGTACTTCAGTGACTACTACTGGAACTCCTGGGCGAGTAGAACTAGGTGTGCAGAGTTAGGGCTCATTATGTTAGTTATGACGAAACCTTACCTCCGGACTTGATGGAGAGACTTGATGGTGTAATTTAGTGACTACTACTGGAACTCCTAGACGAGTAGAACTAGGTATGCCAAGTTTGGGCTCGTTTTGTTAGTTACGACGAGATCTTACCTCCGGACTTGATAGAATGACCTGATGCTGTACGTTGGTGACTACTACTGCAACTCCTGGACGAGTAGAACTAGGTGTGCCGAGTTTGTTAGTTATGATGCGCAGTTACCCTTGAATTTGGTAATACCATTTATATTTTCTCCGACGTGCCTAAACTCGGCACACCCAGTTCTACTCTTCCAGGAGTTACGAAGTACACCATCAGGTCTCTCATCAAGTTCGGAGGTAAGGTATCGTCATAACTAACAAAACGAGCCCAAACACGGCACACCTAGTTCTACTCGTCCAGGAGTTGCAGTAGTAGTCACCAACGTACACCATCAGGTCATTCTGTCAAGTCCGGAGGTAAGGTCTCGTCGTAACTAACAAAACGAGCCCAAACTTGGCATACCTAGTTCTACTCGTCCAGGAGTTCCACTAGTAGTTACCGAAGTACACCTTCAGGTCATTCCTTCAAGTCCGGAGGTAAGGTCTCGTCATAACTAACATAATGAGCCCAAACTCGGCACACCTAGTTCAACTCGTCGAGGAGTTCTAGTAGCATTCACCGTATACTTTCAGATCACTCCATAAAGTACAAGACGAATAGGATTTATATATATTTATATATTATAAATACCACTTGCTTTTAGCAAGCTTTTAACTTTAAACAAAACATTCGAACGCAATAATCAATCTGAGAAATTACACCGACGGTCTTGAGCCAGTTTTTTATAACAGCAAATTCGAAGTGAGTCTTCTAGGTGAGCGTCCGTTAATCACGAACGATATTTGTTTTCCAAAAAATTCATCTTTGAGAAAGATGTTTCACATACGTATGTCGAGTAAGACATAGTGGCCAAATTTATAGCTAGTTTCTTGCAATTTTCATATTTTTCTGGGACATGTTTGGCCCAAAATTCTTCAGTGGATACCGTGTTATACATTTTCAAAGACACTTTACCTCCATTTGAAGTGATGGCTTTGACAGATTAAAAAACTTGGAAGCCACATTCGTCTATTCTGCCACTACATCAACTTCAAATGGCGATTTAAGAAACGGAGATAGCTTGCCCACCTCTGCAGTCTTGGAATCTTTTAGCAAATTCCTTCCTAAGATCGGCCAGAAAATGTCTTCTTCAGAGTTCTCCTTTTATATTCAAGAATTGTCTGAACTCTGAATAAATTCCGTAATAATGGTACGTAGTTCAATCTATGGATGTTTCGTGTGCCCAACCAAGATTTAAATCACATCAGTCATAACTAATTCGTACAAACACCGACACAAAGGCTAAATAGGGAACTAATCAAACCATATCAGATGTAGGTACTTCTAAATTGGTTAACTAGTCAACTTAAAATAGAACAGGTACTAAGTTTCAGTATTCTATGTGGCTTAAAATATTGAAAATAATAAAGGTATAGTATACCTTATCTACGTATTAATTTATACGTGGTATGCAATACATTACAATATATGGCGGTCCGAGATTCGACTTTTAGCGGTCCGCAAACGGACCGCGGTCCGCCTGTTGCTGACCGATGACTTAGGGTATGGTTTTTTTAGAATTATCGTGTTGTTATGATAATCCTAAAAACACTACGACCTAAGTATTTAAAGCTAAACTTTAAAGCTTTTTTTTGTTTAAGTGTGTTCTTGTAGATT